GCTCGCATTGAAGTTACAGTAAGTTCTCAGCACTTGAATGTGTTTTCGAGCCCCACTCTTAGGTGTATAGCAGCAAAAATAACTTCACGGCGCGTATATAGTGGTAATTGCCTCGATCTGTATATTATATTCCATTCCTTTGGCAAAAAACATATAAAATTTATAATATATTGATTAGATTTTAAAATTTTGTCGATAAATTAAGTTCAGTTTGAGTGACATTACTCTCAAATGTGTACAATTTATTGGGAATTTAGCCTAAGTTTAAAGTCAATGAGTGATAAAAAGCTTATATTAACTTTTATTTCTTAATATTTGTATTTGAATACAAGTTGTGTCTCAACTCGTGATTAAACATCAAAGAGAATTTTCCTCTCATTTGGTGTTCAATAGCTTTTCATTAGAAAATCAGTCAATATTTTTTGAGCCCAAGTTGTCGACAGTCGAGTGCTTTTAGAATGATATGCACTCAAAAACACTTAAATTATTTAATCTTATAATCAAAGCAAACATCAATTTTATATGTCTTTACGCTATATATTGTAATATTTTATAATAATTTTAAATATAATGTATTTGAACATAATGTACGCTAAACTATACAAACATCTATACCGAACTCAATGCACTTAGCGTTCGTACAAAATATTTACTTATTCCGTTAATTAGGATGTTTTTATTTACAAATATTATATTTTTAAATAAATAAAATTGTTATAAATTGTTAACTAATCTAATATTTTTGGCATTAAATTGTTAAAACAGTATACTGTATATTGTTAATATTATAACAAATTAATATAACAATTACAGAATATATTATTTACGGTACGACACGTTAACGGTGTCGGCACCAAATGCACTAACATTAATTATTGGTATTGTGACACATGCATTTTTCTATATGACCTTGCTCAGTCCGCATTGAACTCAACTCACACTATGATTCATTTTGTTTGTTAAATAATAATTTAATAACTTTATGTCGTTATTATAAGTGTTTTGTACAGTATAAGCACACCCGTAGTCCCCCTCCCCATACAATTACCCCCAGAATATCAGCAAATTATTTAATTTTCAGGAAAATCATTGAATAATATTTAATATCAATAAGAATTAAACGGTGAATAAGTGATGGGATATTGTGTTTATTACCAATTAATAAATTTTAACAAAGGTTTTGTAGAATTTTTACAATTGTATTGACTTTTGGAAAAAATTAGAATTTAGAAGAAGTTAAAAATTTTACAACTTTTTGAGTCTATTTTGCCGTCAATACAAATGACATGAAAAATATTTGAGACGTTTTTTACACAACAAAAGTGTCTCCAATATTGTGGCCGTAATTAGTGTACGAATTGAGTGCTAAAACTGAACACCGATTTAGTGAGCAATGAATTGAATGCAGTTTTTAGTGTCAAATGTTTGACCAAAATATTGGCTCACATTTGATGTGAAGAGAAAACAGACTTTCATTTATTGTTTTATTTATTAATTAATTTATTTTGTAATATAATTAACGAAATGAATGACTGATTGAATGGTTGAGAAAGCGATACACAAGAGAGCGAATCCCATCGATGGCTGACCAACACATCCAACAGATGATCGACGAGTGGATCAATTGCGGCACTAATCGCACCCAAGACTTGCAACTCATTAAAGACGAGTCACTATTTGATGCCATTGTGACAGTCATTGAACGGAACCGTTCGGACGATGAGGTGATTTGATGAGTATATGTTTGTCCATCTCTTATGATTTGTCCATTTGTTTTGATTTTTTTCTGGCAGTCTTTGGACGCGATTTGTAATAAATTGTATTCGTATTACCGTTCAAACGATGACCAACTGATCCACTATTGTCTGGCATTCATTCCTCCGCTAATCGGCGTTCATATATTGAATGCAAACAATTGTGTGTCAAACGCGAGCTCAAGATGTCGTGCGGTGGATGTCCTGCTTCTGGGTGTGTATAACCTGGAAGTGGTGGACACTGAGGGACAGCTCAAGACACAGATATTCCGATTGATGTCTTTAACGAAGCCTTCGCTATATCACGAGCCGTCACCACATTCTTCGACCCAAAACCAGTCATCACTTCTCACTGAACACAACATTTCAAAACTGGACAACATTTGCGGTGATATTGAGATTCCACTGTTCGGTCCGTTTCCTGAAGTCGACCACATTGTGACCAACAATCGCATGGATGTCATGACTGTCTTAATGAAAGTCTTTAATCATAACATTTGTTCGCTAAACAGACAGTCATTGTCTGCTTTGTGTCGGATGTCTCTAAGGTTTCTGTCATTTGTTTATTTGTTATTCATTTGTTTTACTCTTAATTATATGTCTATTAATGTAATTTAGTGTTAAGTTTGTCTCCATTTTATATAAAATTAGATATACTATAAAATTTTTCTAAAATTACGAGTCATTCCTTGAGTTTTAAGTCGTTTTATAGGAAAAGTACAAAATTAATACAATTTTCGAGTTAATTAATGATTGAGGAAATGCTGTCTTATAAACAATAACTTATAAATTGCTTGACAACTAATTAAATGCTTTGTAATGACAGGCTTTTAAGGCAGGGATCGGTGAATATATCGGTAGAAAAGCTGAATTCAGTGAATGTGAACGCGTTGTTGGCATCCAATCAATTGATTTCCAGAAACTCCACCAAAATAGCATTGAGTTCCCATTTTTTGGTCGAAATAACAAATTCCATATATTATTGTCTATATAATGACACAACAGATCTGGCCTTCGAAGCACTCGAAGAGATCCATAACAGAGCTGTCAATCATTTATATACAGATGTTTTGCTGGTATTATTTTTGAATTCATTTTCATGACATGTGTTTCGTATCCTTTTAAATGACTAACAATTTTATTGTTAAATACATTTTGAAAAACAGATGACAAATGCAATAAGAAATTCCCTATTAATAAACACGGGTCAGCCCTCCGACGGACCGATGGGTATAAACGTTGCGCTTTCGCCGACGTCTAGCACTGCGCTGACGACGACAGCGAAGATAGCGATCACAAACGCCTCATTCAAAACACGCAAACTTCCCGATGACATCCCTATAGTGGCCAACACTAATACCGCCACAAACATCGGCTCCAATCAAATGGGAACCATTAGTGAAGAAGCGGACGACACATCTAAGGACACGCCGAACGAGAAGACAAAGACCAGTGCCATAAAGGGTGTGACGTCAGGGATCGGCAAAATGGGTGTCATTCAGAAGCTTAAAGAGATTAAGGATAAGAAAAAGGACGCAAATGTGGCGCAAAAGAGCGCCAAATATAAGGCAGAGAACGGCGATGTCGTCACTAATAAATTGTTAGGTCATGAGGACAGTGGCAATGATTACGGGTCCGACACTTCCGGCATATCAGACACCAAATTGTCGTTCTCTGAAGAGACTATACCCATGAATGTCATGAATGCAAATAAGACTTACTTCGATATCAACAATGAGGACAATGTAAGCGATTCCAGTGGTGAGAGCCGTAACAGCTCTGAGACCGCAGCAAAAGTGCCTCTCGTTTGTGTCGGCTCTGAATCCGCACTCAATACCAGTAAACATAATAATAACAATAATGAGACGTCTCTTAACGTCTAATAACAATAAAATGAAGAAAAAAGCAATATTTGACTCAAATATTACCGCAAATACAGACTCTTTAGTTCCTATTATTCAATAGGTCTTCAATACACATAACAATACGTTTCTATCGGAACAAAATCAGAGATTATATAATCAATTAATTGATGAAACGAGAGGTTGTTTTTAAATCAAATGAATTTGAGTTGTAATGAATGTGTGCCACAATTAATCGGTGCTTTAAATACCAAAAATAATTAATTAATTGTTAAATTACAGTATAATATAATATATAGAGAATACATAATCGATTACCATAAATGAAATTCTCGGTGTAATTACTGTTATTATATATTGTGAGTCATATTGTATTCATTATATAATTAGCTGTAAATAATTTTTTTCTTGTTTTTAAATTTATTGAAAATTAATAAAGAGTTTTAAATTAAATTCATTTTAGACGCGCTTTTTTACTCAAATTTTTATTTTGAATACAGGAATGACTGAATAAATAAAACGTTTTTTAAGTCAAACAAAAATATAAATATAAAATTTTTTGTTAATTTCATTGCATTTTGTTATTTTTAGTCTAATTGTTTATCACAACTCGTCTTTCAAAAGCGTGTATCTATTCCTCGACGGCGCCAGCTTTGCGAATGTCGACTCTGGAGGACTCGTCTGACCGGCCTTTCCATCAAAACAATATGTATTTATTAGCAATCGATTGCAAAACAATCACATTTTGGCGAAACACTTACAATTTGGGCCGGAATTTCATTGGTCACGGGATCGGCTCCGAAGTGGAACTCCCGGTGAAGTTTCCCGGAATACAAGTCTTGCAGAAATGTTTTCACTTTTCCTGGGATTCTATAAACAAAATGTGGAAAAACGGCTCAATCATAATGACAGGCAAACAAAACATATGCAATAAGTCTTACTCGATATCATTAAAGTTGGGAAACAAATACATGTGTCTGAAACTGTCGATTGCGATCAACGGTAAGTCCTTTTGAGTTTTGCCCAAATGGTGTAACGGATGCGCGAATTTCAAGCCGTCGGCGATCAGGAAATTGACATTTCCCGACTCAGACAGCAGTTCCGTTTGAACCACTTTCGTGTAGACATCAATACTGTGTTTATCGTCGGGCGCGTGGAATAGTATGACAAATGGCAGCCCCTCTTCGGTCAACTCTTCGGCGTTTTCAAAGGTGATCTCACGCACGAGAGGAATGCATTTGTCTGTAGACCAAGTGCTCAACTCGTCGTAACTTTGAAGGACTCCCGGATACGTCAGGTCGTTGTCGTTGGGCTTAGAGCGCGACGGTTTGAACAGAACCGTCAGTGACTTGCCGTCCGCGAGGTGTGAGTGCGAGGGATCTCCTGTCACCCAATAAAAGGAACAGTCGTCTCGTAAATCTATGGCTACCTTTCGGTATATATTATAGTCTTGTAATGTGTTTGGGAGTGAAGATGAATAAGCGATTAATGAAGCTTTCGTTTCGTCTATTTTGTTGAATTCGTCAAAATTTTGGATGTGTTTAATCGGATCCTTCAGGAGTGGTATATATTATAGTCTTGTAATGTGTTTGGGAGTGAAGATGAATAAGCGATTAATGAAGCCTTCGTTTCGTCTATTTTGTTGAATTCGTCAAAATTTTGGATGTGTTTAATCGGATCCTTCAGGAGATCTCTGATGTGCTGTACGATTGAGTCCGCACTTCGCTGTCCACGGAATTCACGTTTCATTACTTTTCCATTCATTAAAAGCTTAAGAGTAGGATATTTCGAGATATGGAAACGTGTTCCCAAAGTGGCTGTAAAGGTAGCGATCAAACCATTTTAATAATCATTTATAATAAACAGAATCATGTGAATGCAAATATGCAAATCATGGTAGAAATCCAACTCACTTTCGTGCTCGCAGTCGACTTTGCCGAACAGCACTCTTCCCGGTTCCTAAACATGCAATACATTAAATCAATGCATTTGTCAAACAAATCAATGCATTTGTCAAACAAATCATTACTAAATATCTCATTTAAATACCGGAAACTCTTCGAGCACTTTAGTGTAGGACTCCTGGAAAACAGGCGCTAATATTTGACTGAATCGACACCAATCG